GCCTAACCACTGCTCTATAAAACTTACCTTTTAGTAACGGTGGCACTTTCTTGTCACACAAGAGCTTAAAAGTTTGGTAACTTTGTGCTAGAGTTTAGTATTAAGTATTTGTCAGCAATGTTAGGCTTTCCAAATAACATAATCAACAGCAACACAGGCTTAACTTTTGCAATAGAACAATGAAAGATTCCACAACTCACATGATATGTGCAATTGAATACCAGTTCCAATAAATCCTATCCCCAATAGAAAGCAGTCTCATTTGTGGCGTCACAAACGAAAAGCACTTGAAAAAAGAGTTTCCGGGTCGCACTACATTAGGAGTCATGTAATATAGATGCAACAGCATGATCAGATGATCCCCCCTTGCTGCAATTTTTTTTTCTTTTTGCCTTTCCCCTTGCTGCAATTTAATGAATCCTACTAGTGACCATACTTCTGAAACTCCCACTCACTGTTATCTGTGCAGAGTAATAAAAAAAATTCCAAACATTACGAAAAGTTTACAACCCCACTAGAAACGAAAAGGCCGATGATAATACCTAATGGGCACACTTGACGGGTTTTGAGCCATCGACTGATGCAGTGGAAATGAAAGGCATGGTTACATACACCTGCGAGAATCTCAATCAAGAAACTTCTATTGCACAGCAATATAATTAAGAAAGAAACATTGATCAGTAGAAAGAACAAATACTACTAGTAGTTAAGGAAATATACCTAAAGACCCCCTTACCCCTCAATAAAACATCAGGCAGGTAAAAGGAAAAACGAAAAACAAAATGCATAGAGAGTTAACGTGGGTGCATAAAAGAGGGAGAAGCAGATGACAAGATGCAGTAAACTAGATTTACATCTAACTTAATATAAAAGATTGACATGCTAGAATTACTGCATGTTAAGGACTTACATACCAAGCCAACTAGGGCAAAGTTTATCAAACCAATAAACATGGTTTGAGGAGGCACATGTAATAATAAACACACAAGTAAAACCAAGAGAGTTTGTAGAACCAATAAACATGATTTGAAGAGGCGAATGTAATAATAATCATGAAAGTTAAACCAAGATGAACTTCACATACTTGATCAAAATGAGGAAAGGGAGCTTATTCACTTAACCTATATCACAGTGCTGTACATCATAGATGATTCACATGTTCCGATGTCTTGTGATGCTTCAGCAATGCTCTAACATGTTCTTTTATTTCAAAAGGTAACAGGATAATATACAAAAACACACATTGTTCTATTTAAGAAATGGTTCCAACGTTGTGGTTTTGCTTGAAGTATGCTCTACTATAAACATGGAATCTATTTAGAGAAACAGGACAATAAAAAAGACGAAGCACTTCAACAAGAAATAGAACCAGTTGCTCCTTCAGTTTCAAGTTTTGACTTAACAACTAGTAGCATTCTTGTTGGAGAACCTCTCACTAGATCAAAATCACCCCATCAGCTCCCTACCTCACAATCCTTGCAAGCAACAGGCCAAATACTAGTCATCTCTTGTACAAAATGTTTACTTTCATGGAACAAAATCCCCGAAATTAACTGTTGGATTTCAATTGCAGACCTAAATGCTAAATTTGCACTACATTTTGAAGAGAAAATTCAAAGTGAAGAAGAAATTTTGTGAGAATAAGCTATAGATAAATGCAGATACATAAAAAGTCGAGCATGATCC